GATTGAAATTATTAACTAATATTAATTAATACATGATGATTAATAAAAAGACTAACGACTACTTGTTCCCACATTGGGACACCGGGTGCGATTGTGTCCCGTTTGATGACACATGGAACATTTCCTCTCAAGCTTATCAAAGTTATCCATTTCTGTTGTAATACGTGTGCTTACAGAGCGACCTTTCTTGTTCCTCCGCATTCTTGGGTTATGGCAAATTTGATCTCCTTCATAAACAGGCCAATATTCATCGCATGGCATCACTGGAAAGCTTGCGCTGTAAACCCCAAATAGGTTTGTAACCCTATAAACGTCGGACAAAAGAGCGTAAGCGTCGTGGCGCACATTCGAACATGCAGCGATAACATGTGAGCAAGGGACACGAAATGCTTGAAACTTTCCGCAGTCACACCACCCGTTCAAGAGGTCGACCTTATAATGTCCCATAGGTTTCCCCTCACCATGGTCCATTGTCTCTTGCACACTGAAAACATTGTTCCTGTAGTCAAAAATTCTGACTTGATGCGTGCTGGATTTTATTGTTTCTTCTTTCATAATCTTGAGGCAGTTGTCTGTAAATGCTTGGCACACAACACTCCACTTTCCACCTCTTTCAGCAAATAAAGATCCTAGTCTATAATACGTTGCCCTTACCAATGCCGTAATGGGCAAATTACGTGTGCCCTTAAAGACGGCATTCATTGACTCGACAAGGTTGGTAGTCATGTGACCCCAACGTCGACCGCCGTCAAATGTCCTTGTCCATTTTTCGGCTGGAATATTGTCAATCCACCTTAAAGCATCTGCATTTGCCATGCTAATCTCTGACCGATAGTAATGAAATGTTGGCTGGTTTAAAGCGTATCCTGAATAATTAAAATATCAAATTAAAATATTGACAAAATATTATATGTTATTGACAAAATTTAATGAATATTAAGAAATATAGTTACCCATGTTAATTATTTTTTTCCGTAGGTTCCTGTCCTTGATTTCTCTCATAAAGTTTTGTGCAATGTGTCGGATACAATAAACATGCACTGAAGGGGGATCGTGCCAACCATTTTCCACATTGTTGTATGCACTTTCAATTGAGGCATGTCGGTCTGAAATTAAACATAGATCTGGTTGTGGGGCGACATGCCTCCTTAAGTTTCTCAGAAAAAAACCCCAGGCTTCAGCGGTTTCACCTTCCACAAGGGCAAAAGCAACCGGAAATATGTTGCTGTTCCCATCTTGTGCAACTGCGATAAGCAGTGTACCCTTGTACTTACCGTATAACCAGGTTCCATCAATTTGAAGTATAGGTTTGCAATAGGCAAAACCTCTGATGCATGGTTGGAATGCCCAGAATAGCCGATGGAAGATGTGTTTCCCTTCAACAATAGTTCCGTCAGATGTATGCATGGGTAGTGTTTCTATTTCCAGCACAGTGTCCGGAACATATTTTTTAAGTGCTAACAGAAAATGTGGAAGTTCATTGTACGAGCTTTCCCAGTTACCGTAGACTTGTTCAATTGCCTTATTTCTTGCTATCCATGTCTTTCTGTAAGACGGAGTAAAATGGAATTCGGAAACAATTTTACTTATGCAAACACTAACCTTAATAGAAGGATCTCTGTCTACAAAAGGCATTAATTTTTGAGACATTAAAAGAGACACAGCCGCCCATTCAATAGGCGGTGGTCAAAGTCTTTAAGACTCTGCGCCCATGCAGCCTACACGTACCTATGCATGCAAAAAATTAAACCCTATGCATGCAGAAAATTAATTTTACACCAACACAAAATTAATTACCTCCTACATATTTACCTATTTATCTCTTACAATTATCATACTCTCCTACAACTTCAAACACTAATATCTCTTACAATTATCATACTCTCCTACAACTTCAAACACTAATATCTCTTACAACTAAATTCCATTCTCAAAAATGGTTTTACTTACCTTAGGAGATGATCACCGTGGTACCCTTGAAAACATTGCAAATTATGTAAGTTAGCTTCTATTTATTTAAACTTAGTTATGTTATATTCTAATAGTTTTGTTATATTCTATTATTGTAAGTTACTTATGCTATACTCTAATAATGTTACACACCATAACTGTTACTTATGTTATAACTGTTACTATATTCTATAAACTGTTACTTATGGTGTTACTTAATTTTTATTTTGTAGGATGAAAAAAATTTCAAACCACGGTCTCATAAGTTTATACAACCTGATGAGGTTATCCTACCGTATTTGATTCAAGCGGGTTTCGGTCACGTCATCAAGATAACATCATACGGGATTGATCGCAAATTTCTTCTCGCGTTGTGCGAAAGATGGCGACCCGAAACCCACACTTTTCATCTTCCCACTGGGGAATGCACAGTGACACTTGAGGATGTCCGTATGTTGTTGGGTCTCCGTGTCAATGGCTCAGCGGTTGTGGGTTGCACCAACGTTAACTATGAATTAGTGGAACAACTATTGGGGGTGCCTTTAGAACGAGGTGATAGGAAGGGCCAAAGCCTTAAAATCACTTGGCTAAAAAGAATTTATGGCAACTTGACCATAACCAATGAGTCTCCCGAGGAACAAAAAATTTATAAGACTAGAATTTATTTACTTTTGCTTTTTGGGTGTTTTTTATTTCCGGATACTAATGGTAATACTATACATCTTCAGTATTTACCATTATTAGAAGATTTCAGAGAAGTGAGTAATTATAGTTGGGGCGCTGCTACATTAGCGCATCTATACAAAAATTTGTGTAGATGCGCAATGAAAAATGTGCATAATTTTGCTGGTTGTGGTGTTTTGATTCAATCCTGGGGATGGTCCAGAATGCCCAGACTGTCACCGATCAACCCCAATCCATTTCACTTTCCATACGCAACCAAGTGAGTATACAAAGTTTGTGTATATATTATTTTCTTCTATAATTTTTACTAACTGTTTCTTTTATAGGTGGTCCGCGTATGGGATGAATTACGAAAAAACTCCGCATCATTGTGCTCCTGGGTATCTGACGTTCTTCGATCATTTTGAGGAAGATGATGTATTGTTTCTAGTCCCTTATTTTCTTGCTAGCACTTTCCATATTTTTTCCTCTAATCCCTTTTTAATTATATTATAGTTTCTATGGAGACCCTATCTTGAACTTGAAGACGAGGATCCAACTGAAAGCGATATGTGGAGTTCTACAACATTCATAATTTCTTTCACTATTGTTGAAATGCATCATTCAGATAGGGTGAAACTCCAATTCGGAATTAAACAAGACATTCCTGGTCCACCTACATGCATGGATACGTACCACAAGAGTGCAGCGAACGACCAATGGAAATTCGATGATTGGAGAGACCATAACAGACAAGAACGACAACAATGGATGGATCGTCGTCGCAATGTTCTACGAGGAAATGTCATGGATGCCAAATGTAAACCAAGTAGAGAATACATGAGTTGGTATAGATATGTGACCAATTTGTATCTATCACAAAATAGATACTTGTGGGACCCTCGAAACCAACCAACTTCAACAAACTTCCAAAACACCCCCTCCATGACTTATGACACCCAACCACCAATATTTAACACCCCACAACCAATATTTAACACCCCATTCAACCCAAACCCAACACAACCACCTTATACTCCAAGCCAACACTACAATCAACCTTACACATCATTTAACCCAAACCCCTTCAACATCCAACAACAAAACCCAACCTCATCATACACCCAATATAACCAATTCTCATTCTCTCAACCTACCCAACAAGAACATAACTACCAAACACCCCAACCACAAGTTCCTTTTTACCCTTCACAAAACTTCACCCTTTCTCAAGACCAACATCCATACACCCCCTACATGACTAACGCGGCGCCACCTATAAACCCACCAACTTGGAGTAACGAGGGTACGAGATTAAGTTATGGAAGTGCGGCAGCGATACCAGCTGACGACGATTTCAATGATGATTTGGTCGCTCAATTCATGAACCCTAACAATGATGCAGGACCATCTACGCAGACCTAAAACGCTGAGGTTGATCGTAGAAGGTCCACCAGAAATGTACAAGCTCCTGCCTGTGGAACCCACCAACGCTTACGTCGACCGGGTCGAAATTAGTTAAGGGTCAATAGGAATTGTAATGTACATATTAAATTTCAAAAATTAATAAATATTTATTTTAGTTCTTTTATTGTTATTTATTTTATAAATATTATTATATATTAAAATAATAATTATATATCAAAAATTATTATATATCAAAAATTAATAAATATTTATTTTAGTTCTTAAATTGTAATGTATATATTAATAATAATAATAATAATAATAATAATAATAATAATAATTATTATTATTATTATTATTATTATTATTATTATTAATTATTATTATTATACTAAATAAATTAAATAACATAAAACGAAAAAAAAAAAAAACAAGAATGCCCTCAACCGCCCATTGAAAGGGCGGGTGCCTATAAAAAACAACATAACCGCCCATTGAAAGGGCGGCAGTGCTTTAATTTTGTTTGAAATGATGGCATTTTAGTATTAAGTCTGGAATGTGTGGCATTTTGGTATTTCCTGTGTAATAACATGGCATTGCTGAAAAATTTTCACTATTTGCGGTACTAAATCCAAAGATGTTACAATCAAATATTCGATACAAACAAAAAGCAAATAAAAAGCCCTTTCAACAATCACTTTCCTCTTACTTAAAGCTGTAGGCAAATAGTATTATCAAATTAGACTGTAAATAAACAAATATTTAGGATAAAGAGCATTCCTATAGTAACAGATTTAGTTTAAGCAACTTGGTAACAAAATTATAATACTACTTTACTTAAAGCAAGATACCATATCCTACTATATTATAGAATTGAACTTCCATATATATATATATATAGTCCATTATCTAACTTAACATACATAGCACCAAACATCAAGCTATAACTAACTATCTTATCAACTTTCCCAATAAAAAACATGTATCCTTCAGCTTCCTTTAATTCCCAACTCTTCCAAGAGCTTCTGGTTGATTCTAACACAAGAAGGCTACTGTTCCAAAACCCTGTAGATCATCAATCACTAACCAACTCCTCTATTTTAACAAACAACCGTAATTCAACAGATTCATATTTTGGAATTTGTGAATTTGATTCTAAAGTTGTGATGATACTTGCAGTCCTATTGTGTGCTTTTATTTGCTCACTTGCATTAAACTCCATCATACGATGTGCCTTGAGGTTTTCAAATGCAGCCATAAACAACAACCAAGCTTCACAACTATTGGTTAATAAAGGAATCAAGAAGAAAGCTCTCAAAACATTCCCCACATTGAACTATTCAGCCGAGTTGAAACTACCTGGTTTGGACACAGAGTGTGTGATATGTCTCTCCGAGTTTACAAGAGGTGAAAAGGTGCGCATTTTGCCTAAATGCAACCATGGTTTTCATATTCGTTGCATTGACAAATGGCTAAAGGAACACTCATCATGTCCCAAGTGCAGACAATGTCTTCTTCAAACATGTCGAAAGGTTGGTGAGTCGCAGGTGCAACCAATTGTGCTGTCAGTGCTGGAAATCATTATAAGGATTCCACCACTAGACCATGAAGCCGTTGAACGTAACTATAGGGAAGAAAGCAGATAAATGTTCATTATAGTTTGAAGCTTTTAGTTGCTTTAGGTTGACTCCAATTGAGCATTCGAAGAGAAGTTAGATACAACTGATTAACTGCTTCTCTTTTGTTTTAACAGAATTCTAATCACAGTTACAATCAACTTGTCAAATTAATTTTTCTAATATTAAGAAATATGGTAGGACCTAACTCAACCTCTCAAAATTAATTTATAGGGTGAGGATTGTTCCCATTTATAACTATTAGAAAACTTTATTTTAGTGGCGAATTTAGCCTCGGCCACCGACACCGAGGCTAACTAGCCTTGACAAAATCAAGGCTATTCAAACGCAAAAAAGTTATTTTAAAGTTTTTCTTTTACAATTATTTTTATTTAATTCGTTAGACATGGTTAGACCGAGGCTAAATATTTTTTAATTTTTATACTTTTTTTTTTTTTAAATATTAGACACGGATGAGCCGAAGCTAACTATATTTAGCTGCGAAATTAGCCTCGGCCACAGACACCGAGGCTAACTAGCCTTGACAATACCAAGGCAATTCAAACGCAAAAAAAAAGTCATTCTAAAGTTTTTTCTTTTACAATTATTTTTATTTAATTCATTAGACATGACTTGACCGAGACTAGATATTTTTTAATTTTTGAATTATTCATTTTAAATATTAGACAAGGATGAGCCGAGGCTAACTATTTTTTATTTTTTTTAATATATTTATTTTATCTGATAGACACGGATGAGCCGAGGCTAACTATTTCCCACTCTTGTCTTTCCTGTTTCCCTCTTAATTCCTTTCAAAATGAAGAACCCTAAAATTTAACCAAATAGATTTTCAGAAGATAAAAACCCCTAAAATCAAACAAAATCGATTTTGTATGGTATCATCTCTTCATTTTCATCTTCAAGATCATCGATTCTTCTGAGTGGAATTATTGGTCTCAATACACTAATCGTTCACACTTTCCTGCTCAAATTCAACCTTAAAATATCTCTGATTCTTCTTCTGCTTCTTTTTAATGTAGTGAGTTTCAGTCTTGGCCTTTATCTGTTGAAGGAAGTTTAGAAGATAGAGCTGCAAGTGCTTCTAAGAGTCATAGTCAAGCAGAGAAAAGACGCAGGGAACTTATTCCTAAGTCTGATAAGGTAGAACAATTTGTTTGTGTTATTTGCCATTTTAAGGTTAGATTTTGTTATGTTTTTAGGGATTTTGTTATGTTTTTAAGACGCAATAAAATGGAATTAGCCATTTAGGGAAAAGATATTTGATTATGATGTTTTGCATTCAACTCATGAATTTCTAATTCCAACCCTAACTGAGATTTAACACAATCCTCGCTCTCAACTGAATTGAACTTGAATTAATTAACAGAGCCTAAACTCAGGCGCGACGGTGTTGGTTAGAGACTACGGCGAGGCAATCGGAGAGAAGAAAGTATATTGAACGTATTTATGAACATGTGAGTTTATGGACCTGAGTTTGCTGAACTCATGTTTGTTGCTGTTAAAAACTCATCACCATGCTAAATGTTTGGTTGTTAAATGGAAGACTGCCATTAGGACAATATGTGCATGTTATTGCTTTTTTGTAAAAATGCTGATATATGCCTTTGAAACATAGGGTGAGTTGAGGATTAACATTGTTATGTTGAACTCATGTTTGTTGCTGTCAAAACTATTTCTCTTACTAACCTGATAGTGAAAGGACAACTACCCCACCATGTAGGTTTTGACTAGTTTGAGTGATTTGGACATTGTAATTTACAATGTGATGTCATTTTATTTTGAGGTGTGAGTTTGTTCAACTCATACAATTGCTTTTAGATTGTCTCAAGGATAATGTAGGTAGTTTGTTGCTTTTGTATAGGTGATAATATATACTGTTGAAACAGATGGTGAGAGTTGAGGATTGACATTGTTATGTCAAGCTTATGTTTGTTGCTGTCAAATCTATTTTCATAACATAAAATTGTTTGGATTTAGCATTTGTCATTTTAAAATGGATAATAAACTAGTTGTAGGAGGATTTGAACTTGGCAATATTTTGAACTCTTGATCTTCATGTTAGAACTGTGTTGGTTTGACAAATTGGTAATTGATTTTGAAAACAATGTTTGAATTAATGTGATTGTTGACATTGGTAAACACCAAGTTTGTTACTGCTTCTGTTCAGATTTTACTCATGAGTTTGTTAACTTTCAAAACATTTTTTCTTGACTGGTGCTTCCATCTTGTTTTTACAACTTGTTGTTAAAGCTATGATAGTTGTAATTCATCAATGAATGTTGATTGAAACACCAATAATTATGTCAACAATTGCTTTAAGGTTTGTCAACTTCTAGTACCATCGAGCTCTATCTTTAAAACCATATGTGTTTAGTAATTGGCATTGTAATGAACAACTCTCATCGTCATGGATTTTTGTGTATTGAATATTGTCATCAAGTGTTCCATACTTGGAGGGCACATTGTTCATCATGGTTTTCTAATCCATGATGACAGGTTTTAGGCAGTCTAGGTAGGAACTTAGTAGATTTCTTTGTATGTTCTTTGTTGGTGTGGTCTATTGAAAGGGTGTTGTCATGTGTGTTTAGTTGAATTAATGACAATACTAAGTTTCAAACATTGATGACATAGTGAAGAATGCTTGGCTCTTTACTTTGCTTACTGTCCAAGTTTGTTGGGAGGTTGGTCAACCTAGATTCCCATCAGAACTTTGTTTGGTTTCATATTTGGCGGTTGAAACCTTGATGCATGATGTTTAGGACACAATGTAGGATCAACAATGTACTAGTATTTATTTTATGATTAACAAAGCAGACTCAGGCTTCAACAATTCTGTTATAACTTCAATAATTCCAATTCAACACTGTCAAATCCTAACTTCATTAAAATCACAATCCTTTGATGGACACTTGAGCTTAAAAAATAATGAAGATGCTGCTAAGGACTTTGGTAACATACATCATTTTCCTCCTCTAGCAGTGTTGCCTCCAAAAACTGTTTCGGATATTTCGCGTGCCATAAAACATGTTTTTGAAAAAGGGTCTGATTCAGAGATGAAGGTAGCGGCTAGAGGCCATGGACATTCCCTTCAAGGTCAGGCACAGGCACATCAAGGACTAGTCATCAAAATGGAGTCGCTAAAGGGTCCTGAATTGAAAATTCAGACAGGTGAATTTCCTTATGTAGATGTCTCAGGTGGTGAGTTGTGGATAAACATTCTGCATGAGGCTTTTCAATATGGATTGGTGCCGAAATCTTGGACAGATTATCTTCATCTAACGGTTGGAGGCACTCTTTCGAACACTGGAATAAGTGGACAAGCTTTTAAACATGGACCTCAGATCAATAACATCTTCCAGTTGGACGTTGTCACAGGTACTGCTCAAACAGAATCTAAGAAGAGTTAGTTTCTTTAGATTTTTTTTTTATAAAGAATGAGAATAATTGTTCCTTTATGCATTGTAGGAAAAGGAGAAGGTGTTACCTGCTCAGAAAATCAAAATGATAACCTTTTTCATGGTGTTCTTGGAGGGCTCGGTCAATTCGGCATCATCACTAGAGCTAGAATTTCTCTAGAACCAGCACCAAAGATGGTGAGTGTACTGTACCCTCATTTCTAATATGAAAGTAATGAAAAAAGTTTCCAAGAATACACTTTTTATGACATAATCTGTAAACATTTTAGAGGTGAAATGGATTAGGGTGCTCTATTCAGATTTCTCTACATTTACAAGAGATCGAGAATATTTGATATCACTTAAGGACACATTTGATTATATTGAAGGATTTGTAATCATAAATACAACTGGTATCCTTAATAGTTGGAGATTATCTTTTGACCCAAAAGATCCACTTCAAGCCAGCCAATTCAGTTCAGATGGAAAGACTTTTTACTGCCTTGAGATGGCAAAATACTTCAATCCCAACGAAGCTGAAGTCATGAATCAGGTAAGACAAAAATACACTATGGATGTTTGAATTACAGTGAGAATAGCTAAATCACAACCGCTATGATTTTGCTAATCTGAGTGTTAATTCAAATATGCACTCAATCTCATTGGCTAAAAAAAAGTTGTAATTTTTTTTTCACATTAAAATGCAGGGTGTTGATCACCTACTGTCAAAACTGAGTTACATTCAACCAACACTGTTCCTGTCAGAAGTTTCTTACGTGGAATTTTTGGACAGAGTGCATGTTTCTGAGATGAAGCTAAGAGCAAAAGGCTTATGGGATGTTCACCATCCTTGGCTGAACCTTCTGATCCCAAGGAGTGAAATTCATGACTTTGCCAAACAAGTATTTGGCAATATTCTCAAGGACACAAGTAATGCTCCCATACTCATTTACCCTGTCAACCAAATCAGGTATCTATCATGTCTTAGCTTGAAAAACTTCATGCCTCCAGCTAGTACATGTTTGGATTTACCTTTTAATTCCTTAACAGCAAGTTGTGGGTCTGAATCACAACTTACATCTAATTCACAGCAGCCATTTTAATTCCTTAACACCAATAACCATCTAACCTTTAACACATTTAGAATTGGACCTTAGGGCTGTTGTTTAGAATTTATAAACAATTGAGTATAATTATTGAAGTATAGAATTCAGTATAAATGATAATTCCATAAATGATGAAGTAAATCTAGGCCTAAACTTGAACCAACTAAATCTAGGCCTAAACAAAATCTTGAATTTGACATTACAATGCCAATTCTATAAGGGATTCAGACCAACAAGAAGAGCTAACCACCCCTAGCATCACCATGCTTGACAGATCTAAAACTCCAAAAGCAGACATAAACACTGGCCTCAAACCTACTTAGAAGCAAACCACACCTATGTGGAATAAAACTCTCCAACAAACCTGGGCAGCAGGCCCAGTATCAAACCAACAGTGTCCACTAAAGTTCTAATCTGTCAAGATCTCCAACTGGCTCAAGAATTCTCATGACCCCAAATTTGGCCATACCCTACCTCAGCTGACAAAACAAAGTGAAACTCACTACCT